TTTTTCTGAATTTCTGTGACGTTTCTTCTGTTCATCAACTGATATTTAAACATATATGTATTAGCTTGATAGGGCTTCTGTAACAAAGTAGCATAAGTTTCCTGGCTAACCTAACAGGAATGTATTATCTCTCAGTTCTGGAGGCTGGAAGTCTGAGGTCAAGGCAGGGTTGTTTTTTCTGAGAGCTGTGAGGAACAAGCATGGAAATGCTTTCTCTTAGATAACAGTGGTTTGCTGGCAACCTTTGGCATCCCTCGCAGACGTATTCTCTGTGTCCTCATACTGTCTTGCCTCTGCACGGGTCTCTTTTTTCCCATGGTGTTCTTTTCATAAGGACACCAGTTGGACTGGCTTATTGGCCCAACCTACTTTAGAATGACCTCATCTTAAATAATTAAATCTCCAGTGACCCCATTTCTAAACAAGGCCACATTTTTAGACACTGGGAGTTAACATTTTTAAATACGAATTTTGAGAACACAATTCAATCCATAACAATGTATATTGAAGTTCCATCACACAAACATTTACTTACATAAGTTCATCAAAATGGCCTCATTTAAGAAACCAGAAATGAGAAGAAAAGAATTTACACAATCTGAATGATTTGGGCAGTTTTGCCCATGTTTTTACTTTGTGCTCCTGTGCCATTGAGATGGAATACTGCTGTTTATTCAGTAGGCCACAATTTCCCTGTGCCTTTTGGAAAGTGAGCATCTAGTCACTCATAATGAGATTCTTGACTTTAACACATACATTTGATAATATGTGATACCTGTCTTTCAGGTGGGCTTTATGATCTCACTTCTTAGGATACTATCTCATAGTTTGCTATGCAATTTTCTCCTCAGTCATTCTTTTTGTCCTACTATCTTTTAAAAAAGTACCTTACAAATCCCTTTACTGTCACTTTAGCAGGTAAAGGAGGGAGGGGGCTGAAGCTACTAGATACATTTCACCAATTTAGTTATAATGATGCACATTGATTGAAGATTTGTGCCTTGATTCAATCTGGAAAATGCTTAGTTGTCATCTCTTATAGCATTGCTTTTCTGCAGTATTAATTTTCTACTGTTATTGTAATGAGTCACCATAAATTTGTAGATGAAAACAAAACAATTTTATGTAGGTCAGAAATCTAGGTGGCCTCTGCTGTCTAAATCAAGAGCCAGCCTGTACTCTTATCCACAATAAGAGAATCTGGGGTAGATTCTGCTTCTAAGTTCATTCAGGGTGCCGTAAGAATTCAGTTCCCCAAGGTGCAAGGATGAGGTTCAGCTAGAGTCTGGCTGCTAACTAGGGTCTCTCTCAGCACTTGCTCTTTTCATTTTTAAGCCAGCAAGTCAGCTCATTACATCCTTCTCCTCAAACCCTCCTCACACTTCTCTGCTTTTAAGGACTCATGTGAATACATTGAGTCCACCCTGCACAATCCAGGAAAATTCCCCTATTTAAAGGCCTTTGATTTTTTTTTTTTTTTTTTTCAGTACTGGAGATGGAACGCAAGTGCACTCTACCACTGAGCTATAGCCCTAGTCTTTTTGCTTTTATTTTAAGACAGTTCTCCCTAAGTTGCCCAGCCTGGCAATCTTCCTGCCTCAGCTGCCTGAGGATCTGTGATTACAGGCATGTTCTACTGTGCCTGACAAAGCCTTTACATCTGCAATGTCCCTCTTACATGACATAACATTCACAGGTTCCACAAAGTAGAGTGTGGACATCTTTGGGAGGCCATTCTGCCTACCACACCTGCCACTCTTTCTAGAGCCTTCTTGGAATCTCTTGAAATATTTCTTATTTTGTTGTTTGATTGTAATCTTTTTTAAAAATTTTTTCTATATTTCTTAATAGCTTTATAAATATAGTTTATTTCTTTGTCTGCACTGGGATCCAGGTAATTGTCTAATTCTTTTAACTGTGTCTAATCTACAGTCTATTCCAGATAATGATTCTTTAAATTTTTTGGTGACTTTTTATATTTTTTAATGATATTTTTTTGTTTGTTCTTTTTGATTATACATGACAGTAGAATGTATTTTGACATATTATACATACATGGAATACAACTTCCCATTCTTCTGGTTGTACATGATGTGGAGTTACACTGGTCCTGTAATCATATGTAAACATAGGAAAGTAGTGTTCATTCATTCTACTGTCTTTCCTATTCCCAATCCCCTCCCTTCCCTTCATTCCCCTTTGTCTAATCCAAAGTACTTCTATTCTTTCCACTGGCTTATTGTGAATGAGCATCTACATAACAGACAGAACATTTGGCTTTTGGTTTTTTGGGATTGGCTTATTTTACTTAGCATGATAGTCTCTAGTTCCATCCATTTACCAGCAAATTCCATCATTTCATTTCTCTTTATGACTGAGTAATATTCCATTGTGTATATATACCACATTTTATTTATCCATTCATCTGTTGAAAGGCACCGAGGCTAGTTCCATAGTTTAACGATTGTGAATTGAGCTGATATAAACATCAATGTAGCAGTGGATGACTATATTTTTAAAATCCAAGTTTCTGTTTGGTTCCTTTGCATACCCATCTGCTCTTGCTTCATCAAATAATTCTTCTTTTTCATGGCAGTTATTCCTTCATTCACCCAGACCAATGGTTCTCAATTAGGGGTGATTTTTGCCTCACAAGGGACATTTGGCAATATCTGGAGACATTTTTGGTTGTCAAAACGACCTTGGAAGCTGCTGCTCACATCCAGTGGTGGAAACCAGGAATGCTGCTAAACATTCTACAATGTGCAGGACAGGCTCTGCTCAACAGTTTTCCAGCACAAAATGTCAGGAATGCTGAGGTTGAGAAAGCTTCATCTAGATAATTTTAAACATATTCATTTAAATGTTTCATCAGTCTTATTTCCTCTGGAGAATTAGTGTTTTGATTGTTTCTTGTGTCAGCTATCTTTACTAGCATTAGATTTCTTTGTTATTTTGGCATCATGGTTTGCAAGTTCAAAGAAGGTAGTAACTGGGCTAATTAGTGACTGGGATGACATTTCTGTATTCATATTATTTCTGTCACTTTTTTTTTTTTTTTGTACCAGGGATTGAACCTAGGGGCACTTAACCACTGAACCATATTCCCAGCCCTTATTTATTTATTTATTATTTTGAGACAGGGCCTTGCCAAGTTGCTGAGGCTGGCTTTGAACTTGTGATCCTCCTTCCTCAGCCTCCTGAGTCACTGTGCCACTGCACCTGGCTTCTCAGTCCTTTTTGCTGCCTTAACTTTGGGGTCAGACTCTACTCAGCTGTGTATGTAGATGTGTTGATTGTCTGTTGGAGCTTGTGCTTTCTCAGCAGTGATAACAACCAAGCAACCAGTGTCCTTCAGTTCTATCACAAGGTCTAGAAGGAGCCACAAAACCAGAATGTATGCACAGGACGATGGTGCCAGCTCCAACAGTAGTAACTCAGCAGTTCCTGGGATAAGTTGACTATTACCACTCAGTGGTCCAAGTCTCATGCAAGAAGAAACATCTTTTGAAACTGTGGCCCTGGCCAATGGAAAATTACCAGACTTTATTTCTAACCCCAACCTCAAAATGCTTGCATCTCCCTTTGTTCAGGAAGTAGTCTGCTCTCCCTCTCCATCACTGCTGTCTCCCTTCCAGTGAAGCCCCCAAAGTCTTGCCTGCATGCATGTTTGCAATCACTTGGATTAGTTTCTATCATCATTGAGTCATAAGCTCCCCCTCATGTACCACCCCAACTCCTTTGTGTGACAGGGATCTTAACCTCAGGCCTTGGAAGACAGCAGTGAGTCTGACTCTCTTCTTCCCTATTGCTTGGAGATGTCTGTCCCAATCACCTTTTTGCATTTCTTTATTGAGTTGTCTTTTACACTTACTAATTAGTATGTGTCTGGAATGAAAAACAATGATTTGTCTTGGCTATGCACCCTCAAATGTGTTTAATCGCAGATGTGCAAAATGTTGTACAAAAGTTATCCACAGGCCCTGTGCGTTGGCCAACACCTGTAATCCCAGCTGCTGGGGAGGCTGATACAGGACCATTGGGAGTTCAAAGCCAGCCTCAGCAAAAGCCAGGCACTAAGCAACTCAGCAGACCCTGTCTTTAAATAAAATACAAAATAGGTCTGGGGATGTGGCTCAGTGTTGAGTGCCCCTGAGTTCAATCCCCAGTACCTCCACCCCACAAAAAAAGTCAGGACTTTTCAACTCATTGCCTCGTAGAAATTCCATAAAATAGCTCATTGAAGCATGTGAAAAACAGATGAGGCACACAAAATGGAAACATTAAAACAATATATGAATGGGTACACAGCTATCCACAACTCATAGTGCAGCTGTATGATAGACTAAGTACATTTTCAGAGCGAAGGCCTACTTGGAAGGGAGAGGAAGGAATAAGCAAGAAAGAATGGAGCTCCTGTCTGATCATCTAAAGTTTTCAGAGGGAAATGGACTTCTAGGATTTGCCCACGTGTTTTCCGTCTTTGAGCAGGTTCTCTTGAAGCAGTTTATTTGAATTTAATTCCACTTACAAATGTTTATTGTGGTAGGTGCTAGGGAAAAGTAGCTGAGGATAAAATTATCCTTGGCTTAATGAATTCTCAGTCGGGGGCGGTAGGAAGAGACAGACAGTGATGTTTGGGTGGTTGCATTCCATTCCGTGGGTCCACACAGTCTTAGGGGGATGTGTTTGGGCAATTAATTGTACAGGGTGGTGGTCGAAGTTGCGAAGACATGATGATTTCTGCTGGGGGTTGCGTGAGTAGGCGTTCATTTCGCAGAGCAAGGCTAATCCCATGCAGGGACCACGACTGGGTGCGTTTTCACCCGGTGCCCAGGCGCCCAATCCGCAGACTGGAGAACGTCAACTCGGGCCCAGCGGAAGTCGGGGTTGGCCTGCGCGGGCGCCGTCCGCTAGGGGGCGCCGTGGCCCGCGCCGTCCGGGCCGTTGCGTTTCCGGGCACCGGGGTCCAGCGCCGCCATCGCCACCGGGCGCGCGCGCCCGCCTGCCGCTCCCGTTACCTGGGCAACCGTGGCGCCTCCTCCGTGAGGGCCTCGACCGTCTCTCCGCGCCATTTTCAAACTGCTCTAACGCTGGAGCCGGTGGCCCGAGCGGAAGGAGCCAGCGAGGGAGACGAGTGCAGAAGGAGATGCGGCCGCAGGTGGAGGACGCGGAGGCCGGAGCTGAGGGTGAGGCGGGCCTCGGGGGCGGAGGGCCGGGCGGGGCCGGCGGCGGCGCTTTAGTCGTCGCCTTCCGGGTCGTCCCCGCGGGCCGGGCCTGGACGCCGCCAGAGGCCGCGCGGTTGGGAGGACGTGGGCCCGGGTTGGGCGGGAGGGGCGCGGGCACCGTCCGCACCCGAGGGCCAAGCTGCAAACCCGAGCTCGGCCGGGAGCTTGACCCAGCCCGCCGCGGGGCGTCGGCGTAGGCCGTGTGGGCGGGCTTGGTAGATGGGTAGATTTGAATTACAAAGCCCTCCCAGGGTAGGAAGCCGACATGCAGTTGGTGAAAACAGCGCCCCCGAGCGCCCGTGCCCAGCGCCTTGGAAAACACCCGGTCTCCCCTCGAGTTGAGTAGCGGGTGACTCCGAGGTACCTCGGTGCACGGGTTCTGTGGCCGCTTTTGTTGGGCGGGATTGTTTCTTCATACACAAGTGTGAAAATATGAAGCCCCACCAGGGTTAGCAGATGATGCTCTGGGCGTGTCTGCGTGTGGGTTCCCCCAAGTCACCCTTTGATGTTTTGCCAGAAACTTTATGTTTTTAGGCGGGATCTATGGGACGACCACAGCCCTTGCCCTTCTTGGGAGGATGGGAATCTGACTTGTGGCCTCGGGCATGATTTTTAAAATATATATGTTTTATTCTCATTCCCTCTTATTCTTCTCCCCGAAGCAGGGTGTAAAGAGGAATTATTTCTGGGCAGCCAGAGTTGGGGGAAATGCTTGTGTGGTAGCCGCCTGGTTTTGTCAGGTTTATTTCTGATGTGTTCAGGACGTTCCAGAAAACACCCTCCTGCATCAATCAGTTAAGTCCCTCTCTGTGGAAGGAACCTACAAAATGCATTGCAAAGCTCTCAGAGATGACGCTAGCAAGTGCCACGAGAGATTTATAGAAAGGAGTAACAAAGGAGAGGTAGTAATTTAGAAGGGATTTGAAAATACAGAAACCAAAGTGCTAGACAGGACTCAGGGGACCTAGCATCCAGAGACTGTTTACCTACTTTGTGGGCCCATGGTTTGGGAAACAGTTACTTTCTTGAGCCTTTCTTCATCTTGAAGGACAACTATTGGGCATTTATTTCTCACAGGATTGTTTTGAGGATCAAATTTTACATGTATTCACATGCGTCCACATTTTACAAATTGTGAATAACAACATAGATGTAAAACAAAATTTTTGTTTGGTTTAGAAATGTGAATATTTTGACTACATTTAGCTGGCAAAATTTAGAAAAAAAGCCAAGTTTCTAAAGAAAGGAACTTTGGATAACTCCATTTTAGGGCAGATTGGAAGACCAATATAAAAACGTGTACAGAGGTACTTATGTGTGTGTCATTAAGAAGAAATTGAGCCCGGGTGGTGGCATGCGCCTAAAAATCCCAGGAAGCTGAGGCAGGAGGATCTTAAGTTCAAAGCTAGCCTCAACAGCTTAGTATTGAGGCCTAACTTACTTAGCAAGACCATTTCAAGGGCTGGGGATGTGGCTCAGTGGTTCAAACCCTGGTACAAAAAATAAAGAAAGAAATGAAAGTTGAAATGAAATTTATATACTCAGCCATCAATACATACACTGAGGATTGAACCCAAGTACAGTGTACCCAGCCCTTACTTGTACATTTGAAAAGCTTCCATAAATCTATACACCTGTGTAACCACTTACTCCACTCAACAGTATTTTTATCACCTGAGAAAGTTCTTAATCTTTCCAGTCACCTCCCTGGGCAACTGCTGAAATTTCTATCCCTATAGTTTAATTTTACCTGTTTTTGGACTTAATGTATTTGGCTTTTTCTGTTCAAAATAAACTTTTTTTTTTGGCGGGGGTGGGGGGGCTACTGGGAGATTGAAACCAGGGGCACTTGGCCACTAAGCCACATCCCCAGCCCTATTTTGTATATTATTTAGAGACAGGGTTTCACTGAGTTGCTTAGCACCTCACTGTTGCTGAGGCTTGGCTTTTTGTTGTTGTTGATGGACCTTTATTTTATTTATTTTTATGTGGTGCTGAGAACTGAACCAGTGCCTCACATATTAGACAAGGCTCTACTGCTGAGCTACAATACAACCCCAGCGCTGCCCCCACCCCTTTGAATTTGAGAGCCTCCCAAACCACTGGGTTTATAGGCATACACCATCTTGTCCAGCTCAGTTCCAGGAATTTTGAAAATCATCCATATAGTGGATGTGTATCAGTAATTCCTTCATTTTATCCCTGAAACAGAAATATTACATTGTATAAAGATATCATAGTTTGTTTCTTCAACTGTTGATGAATGTTTAGCTGTTTTTCCAGTTTGGGGCTATTATAAATAAAACTGTTATTATATTCATTTTTCAATTTTCTTGTAGTCTTTGTGGATGTTTGCTATTTTTTTTTTTTTTAATGTAAATACCTAGGAGAAGAATTACCTGGTTATAGCTAGAAGTATACCTTTATAAGAAACTGGCATGCTGTTTTCCAAGGTGATTTTTTTTACTCCTGTCAGCAGTGTGTGAGGCTTTTTCTTGCTTCAAATCTTTGCTAACATTGGATATTGTCCATTTTTTTTTTTTTTGGTACTGGGATTGAACTCGGACACTCAGACACTGAATCACATCCCCAGCCATTTTTTGTATTTTATTTAGAGAGACAGGGTCTCACTGAGTTAGTTAGCACCTCGCCGTTGCTGAGGCTGGCTTTCAACTTGTGATCCTCCTGCCTCAGCCTCCTGAGCCGCTAGGATTACAGGTGTGCCACCGTACCTGGCTTATTGTCCATTCTTTTAATTTTAGCTATTGCTAATATGGGTAAAAATTGCACCTCATGGGCTGGGGTTGTGGCTTAGCGGGAGAGCGCTCACCCTGGGTTCAATTCTCAGCATCACATAAAAATAAATAAAATAAAGGTATTGTGTCCAACTACAACTAAAAAATAACAAAAAGTTGAACCTCATTATGTTTTTAATTTTTATTTCCCTGATGACTAATGTTAAGTACCTTTTCATATGATATTCCTCTTTAGATATCTTTTTCAAAGTGCTCATTCAAATCTTTAGCACAATGAAATTTTAGTTTTAGCCCAAATAAATTTTCTTACTGAGCTGTTTATCTTATTGTTGAGTTATAAGAGTTCATTTTACATTCCATATATGTCTCAGATATTGTGAATATTTTCTAGTGCTCTTTGGTTTTCCTTTTTCCTTAATAGAATATTTTGATGAGCAGATGTTTTTAATTTTTTTAAAATATTAAGCTTCTATTATTCTTTTTTTTAAGAGAGAGAGAGAATTTTTTAATATTTATTTTTTAGTTTTCGGCGGACACAACATCTCTGTTTGTATGTGGTGCTGAGGATCGAACCCGGGCCGCACGCATGCCAGGCGAGTGCGCTACCACTTGAGCCACATCCCCAGCCCCAGATGTTTTTAATTTTGATGAAGTTTTTCTTTTGTTTAGTGCTCTTAAGAGTTTCTTCTAAAAATTCTTTGCCTACCTCAGGCTCTGAAAAATCTTTTTTGTTTTCTTTTAGAATCTTTATTGTTTTAGTTTTGATATTTATGTTTATGGAGAGATTCATGTTTTAATGCAGCTACATGGATGAGATCATGTGTTGAATTTAAGTCAATCTGAATGTCCCAGAAGACTGCCTGTCTGAAGAGAAACAGAAAAATAATTGTTTCATATTAAATTTTGTTGTTGTATTGAATTCAGGAGCACTCTACCACTGAGCTACATCCCAACCCCTTTTTATTTGAGACATGGTCTCCCTAAGTTGCTCACCTTGCCTTGAACTTGAAACCCTCCTGCCTCAGCCTTCCCAGTCACTGGGATTGAGTCTCTGGGATTCCAGATGGGTGCCACTGTTCTCAGCTTTTTCTTTTCTTTTTCCTTTTCTTCCTGCAGTACTGGGAATTGAACCCTGGGCATGCTGGGCAGGCACTCTACCACTGAACTTATCTCAGCTGTTTTACTTTTTGGACGGAGTCTCCCTAAACTCTGGAGTCTGGCCTGGAATTTTCAATCCTTCTGGCCCAGCCTCCAAAGTAACTAGGGTTATAGGCGTGCACTGTCATGCCAGATTGAATCTTCTTATTGTGAAATGACAACAGTAGCTGTAACAGTATAATGACATTTCATTCTTTTGTTTTTAGAACTTTAACTTTTAGAAGTGAATAAAACTGGTTTTGGAAGACAAGATGACTACAACTGCAGAAAGAAAGTATATTAATATTAGAAAAAGATTGGATCAGTTGGGATACCGCCAGACTCTGACATTGGAGTGTTTACCATTGGTGGAAAAACTTTTCAGGTAAAGATAAAAAATACAGTTCTAAGCATATGTGATCCTGAATCTACTTCTAAGTTACTTAGGGTCCTGCCAAGTTGCTGAGGCTGGCTTTGAGCTTGAGATCTCCTGCCTCAGCCACCCCAGCTGCTGGGGTAATAGGCGTGTGCCATTGCACCTAGCAAAGACTTTTTGAAAAGTGCTTAAATCATCTGTTCTTCCTTATGTCCTAATTTGTCTGTTCTCAGTGCAGGGCCTCCACACTGCAAAGTGTAGGGGTCACCACTCATCCTATTACTGTTGAGAGTCATATTACTGAGGATTTTTTTTGTGAATAGTTTTTTATATTCTTGGAGATACTTCCCTTTCTTTCCTTCTCTCTCTCTGTCTTGTCCTTTTCAGTGCTGGGACTGAATCCAGAGCCTCTACATGTACTAAGCAAACTATATTCCTAGCCTAACTTTCTCTTTCTTAAGTTCTATGTCTATTTCACTGATCTTTAAAATTACTATTATTTTAATTAAGGTTCTCTAATAAGTTGTTATTATGTTCTCTAATATGTGGTCATTACTATTACATCTTACCTTAACTGAAAGGTTCTTACCTTCATTAAAAGGATTCCCCCCAAACCTCTTTCTACAAGAGCTATATTAGAATGGTTTTGGACTGGAACAGGGAAGGATTTTAAGGTAGGACTACCAATAATGATGGTGAAAAGAATGGATTAAAGATATTTTGTGGCCTTTCACATGACCTCCCAACCTTTCATGATCTAATCCCTGCTTTTTCCACAACTTCGTCTCCCTGTGTTGAATCACTTGAATCTCCCCAAACTTAATCTCTTACCCTTGGTCTTTCTGTATACTGTTCACCTGCCTAGGAACATCTTTTCTCCTCTCTGTTCCTTGCCTGCTTAGCTTTTAAGTTTAAGTATCCCAAAGGTCTCTTTGTTTTTTAGTTGTAGGTACACTCAATATTTTATGTGGTGCTGAGGATCGAACCCAGTGCCTCATGTGTGCTAGGCGAGTGTTCTACCACCAAGCCACAACCCCAGCCCTCCCATAGGTCTCTTTTACTTAGGTTACATGTTATCTTAACTGTGCATTATTGCAAATTTGTTTTTACCTTCATTTAGAATGCCACTTTCATGAAACCAAAGACTGATTTTGTCACCCCTGTATCAGGTTGAACATATAGGCACCAAAATATTTGTTGAGCTTGTAATATACTAGTATGTCTTTTTGACAGACTCTGTAGAATGAAAGCTTCACAGGTGTGAGGACTTTTTTATGTTTCTTCCTCAATAAATATTTACTGGGTGGATTTTCCGCTGGTCTGAGAGTTCTCAGAAATAAGGAACTAATTCTTATTTGTTGTGTTCCTGGTGTTTAACAGACAGCAAACAATCAATAAATACTTGCTCAGTGAAAACAAATCACAGATTCCACAGACTTGAAGGAGATAAGCAAGGGGGGAGATTCAAAGATGATTCAATGTGTATATATTTCATAACTTATAAATTATTTTGAGAAATTTTGAGGACATCCTTATACCTTGAAAAAAAAGATAAGTGTTCTTTTCTACCTTTTAAATTAATCCATTTTTTTGAGATATTGAAAGGGCTTTGCATTTAAGCTCTCTACCACTGAACTGCATACCCAGCCCTTTTTAAGAAAAATATTTTAAGACAGGGTCTTGCTAAATTGTCCCAAAGTTGCTAGGATTATAGACACATCCTCTATGCTCAGCTTCTTTTTTGAAGTTTGATATAATTTAACATTAAGATATACATACATTCAAGCCTTTTTAGAAATATATTTCAAGTTATTAGAAGATTAATGAAATGTTTCTTATATTTATGGGTTCTGTTCCTTAATTTTAGTGACTTAGTTCATACAACAGAAAGCCTTCGACAATCAAAATTATCTACTGTGAAAGCTGAAAAGGAAAGTGCCAATTTTGATTTTGTATTGGAACCCTATAAACTTGAAAATGCAAGATTGAGTAGGGAAAATAATGAATTATACCTGGAATTAATGAAACAGAGAGAGTACTCAGACCAACACATTAAAGGTAAGTGAAAATTTGATAATATTTTAAAATAATGGTTTTGCCCTTTCAGTTTTATGTGTTGAAAAGGCTAAACTCTAATTTTAAAACTGGTTGGTTAGAAAAGAGAGTAGTCTTACTAACAGCTCCTTAAATACAATAGGGTATATTGAAGAGTTCCTGAGAAGGAAAATAAATGTGTATTTATAGCTGTATTATATGTGGATTAAAGTTTTAGAATTAAAATGCTAGAAATGAGGACATGCTCTTGAAACAATTTTTGTTTTTCCCTTTTTATAGTAAAGTAAGGTGAAAACCATGGATTGCTTTGTCTAGTAGTTTTTGATCTGGGAAGTAGATAGAACAGGATGATTTAAAGGTACTAGGCAGAATGTAATTATATGGTTATCTTATTATAATTCTTACATTTGGTAGAAAGTCCTAATACCGGGCATGAATTAATAATTTTTTGCTTCTTACTCAATTTAGTAGGTCAAAAACCATTGTATACATTAGGCATCTTCAGCAGTAGAAAAGTGTAATTTCTTTTTGTGTTTAGTGAGTTATTTGTTTTATTCAATGGTAGAAAGAGTGATAGGCTACAAAATTTTTACAAGATTTGGGTGAAGCTTTTTAAATTGATTTGTCTTATTGTGTCTTATGAAATGGAAGGACAGTGGATTTTTTGATCTTTAAAATAGTCTTCGAATCTTTTTCATTTTAAGAGTTGAAAACTACTTTGAAAAAGTGTGCACGTGAAACCGCTGATCTGAAATTTCTAAATAACCAATATGTTCATAAACTCAGACTTTTGGAGAAAGAAAGCAAAGCTAAGAATGAAAAAATTCAGCAACTTCAAGAAAAGAATTTGCATGCTGTAGTACAAACTCCGGGTAAGCTTATTCCTTCCCCAAACAAAATTTGTTAGAATTCTAATGAAGAAAAAGTGTGGTTTATGTTTGATCTTCATGAGAATCAGTTCTGATCTGGGCCAAATGCTTAAAAAGTAAATTATTCATGTGCTTTAGACCGAGACAAGATGGATCTATCTGTTAATAATTTTGAAAATATTTTCTACTAATTCAGGTTATAGCATGACTTTATGTTATAGGTGATTTCCCATCATATTCTAATTTTTCTGTTTAAAAATTCTGTTACCTGCTCTTTTGATATTACTTAATCAGTATGTGTATCTTAGTTCTCACTGCCTTAAGCCCCTCATATGGCAGTTTTCTATTCCTGATGATTTCTTGATTTCATAATAGCAAACACTACAGGACACACTGAGTTTTAAATTTTGCCAAAGGCTAATCCCCATCTGGCTGAGAAACAAATTAAATCTGGGTGTATATGCCAAACATGCAGGCATATAAAATTAGTTTTACATCCATGTCTTGCTGAGGTTTTAGGAATACATTGTTTAACGAGCAGGGTGGGTGTTCACATATAAGGCATAAAACATTTGATCAATATGTAACGTGAGCCTGGCATGGTAGCAAATGCCTGTAATCCTGTTGATTTGAGAGACTGAGACAGGATTCCAAGTTGGAGGCCAGCCACAGAAATTTAGTGAGACCTTGTCTCAAAAAATGAAGAGGAATAAAAGGGTCTGGGGATATAGTCCAGTGGTAGAGGGCTTCTGGGTTCAATTTCTATTAACAACAACAACACAAAGGTAATAAGAATTAGATAAACTTTATAACAGAAGCTATCTTGGAATATTTAATGGGGCGAGGTGTGCCAGGGATTGAACTCAGGGGCACTCAACCACTGAGCCACATCCCCAACCCTTTTTTGTATTTTATTTAGAGACAGGGTCTCACTGAGTTGCTTATCACCTCTGTTGCTAAGGCTGGCTTTGAACTCGCAATCCTCCTGCCTCAGCCTCCTGAGCTGCTGGGATTACAGGTGTGCACCACCATGCCCAGCTGAAGTATTTAATTCTTAGATGGTGTTTTATTTTGTTTCCCCTTAATTTTTAAGACACTCATTTGGGTTTTATTTTTTAGGTGGCAAGAAAAGAAGCATTGCTTTCAGGCGCCAGCGTATGCAAATAGATGAACCGGTTCCTCCTTCTGAAGTTAGTGGTTATCCAGTTCCACAGCCAGATGACCCTTACATTGCAGACCTCCTGGAAGTGGCTGATAATAGGTGCATTAAATTATTCTCTGTTGGGGGCTGAGGGTGAAGCTTAATGGTAGCATGAGTGCTTAGCATGGGCAAAGCCCTGGATTCAATCCCCAGCACCCAAAACAATAATAATAATAACTTTTTGTTGGCTTTATTGATCACTGGGTTAACTGTAAGTTTCTTGGTAGGAAGACTTGTCTTGTTAACTGTTGTATCCCCTGTAACTAGCACAGAACTTTGCACAGGCACTCAATGAATACTTTCTGAATAAAAGTAAAATGTTTTTGCTTGTTTTGGAACTTTGATTTCAAATAGATCATGAATCTGGGGTTTCTGTCTATACATGCTTTGAAATAATTTTGTGTTAACAAGAACCTGTTTCAATAGAGTTGCTTACACATTAGTTTAATCTCTAAGTTGTCTTTTACGGGAATCTTTATTCACATTTATATCAAATGCCAATTGGATAGATTTATGACTGGATTTGAAATTCTTATGATTTCTCTGGCTCTGTGTTTGTATTCTTTTAAAGTGGAATCATATAAATTTCTTTTAATTGAAAATGCATTAAGTGGAGCTGGGGTTTTAGCTCAGTGGTAGAGCACTTGCCTAGCATGTGTGAGTCACTGGGTTTGATCCTCAGAACTACATTTAAAAAAATAAATAAATAAAGGTCTAAGAAACATAATAACATTAAAAAAAAATGTGTTAAGCCTCCTGGGCAAGGCACTGTGTTAAGTGTTTTGAGGATGTACAGACAAATGAAGTACTGCTACTGCTTTTGAGAAGCTTGAAGTCAGTAGTGGAGATGGGACAAGAGGAAATGCATGAAATGTTATAAGAAAATTATAAGGGGTTCAAAGGAGAAAGCAAACAGCACTGGTAACTTTACACTATGGTGATAACTGGAGAAACATTTCAAACTATGGGATACACTAATGGCAATAGTGCAGATAACTCAGATAACTTTATTTTGTATTTTATGTAGAGATTTTTGGGGAAGTTTTTCTAGTGTATTAATCTTAATATAATAATTTTGAAAAGAGCATTGGTTGAGATACTGATTAGGATCTCTTTACTTGGTTATTCTCATATAATATTATGTACTCACCACCCCCGTCCTCCACACCTCCACCCCCGCATATGGGTTTCAAATCCAAGACCTTGCACATGCTAGGCAAGTGCTATGCTTTTGAGTTATATCCCCAACCCCTTTTATTTCTTTTCAAGATAGGGTCTTGCTAAGTCACCCAAGATCACCTTGGATGTGCAATCCTCCTGCCTCAACTTCCTGAATAGCTGAAATTGCAAGCGTGAGCCATCCTGCCCAACTGTGCATACATAGTTACTTTAACTGTGAAATACTTTGTGTTTTGTTCTTCTGTTGTAATCTAAGACTTCTCAGACAATGTGTTAGTATTATTTAAAGAATTATTTGGATTGTATAGGTGATATGAATCTCTTTGATAGCATGTTCACTTTAGTTTTTACACACACATTTTGTTTGTATCCAGTCATTCATGCATTTGTATGTATGTATGCATTTGTATATATAGTCTTCTCCTGAATTAGATTAGTAAGAAAGTTTGGGTGTAGGGTCCGGCTATATCCAACCTCACTTAATCTACCTCATGGAAAATCTCTCTCAAAGCAGACCTGCTTCAATCTTTTTCTTTCAAATACAAAAGTTGGTTATATCATGTTGAGGTAATATAAATACATTTAGGTATTTGTAGAATTCAGGTATGTTGGACAAAATCTTGATTCAGTTAGAATTTATAAGTTAAGAAAGAGTAGATATTTTGCTGTATAGTCATTTGTAAAATTGCAGTTTTCTCAGTATTTTCCTTCTCCCAATATTGCAGAGCAGTTCATTAGACAATACACACTTAGGGTCATAAAACACATTTTAGTCTCTTATCTCAATTAATGATGTTGAGAATTTTGAACCAGACTCTTCGTTTTCTGAATCTAAGAATAAATAGTTGTCCTAAGGATCAAAATGCAGTAGTGAGGAGTTTTATTGCATAATATATCTAGATTTCCAGTTATTTACAGATTCTTAAAATCTGTTCTTACAAAACCCTCAAAGATGATATACTATATTATGTTGAGACTTTGGGACCCTTTGGCACTTTATCCCTCACTGAGAAGCAGAGTACAGAACTTTTTAAAAGAGCCCCCTCTGTTTTAATATCTTGTTATTTTGTCTTTTCTTAACAAAAGTGTACGTATATTGACATTAGTTACAAATATGTTTCAGGATTCAAGAGCTTCAGCAGGAAGTCCACCATCTACAAGAAAAGTTAGCAATGATGGAAAATGGCATAAAAGATTACAGCAAGCAGGTAGGATTTTCATTACTTACATATTTGGGATTGAAATGAATATTCTGTGATCATAACTAGAATTCAGTTATATTTGATATTACTGATACTGAATTTTTATATAGTCTTTATCTTTTCCATTAGTTTGTTTTAATATAATTAATAGCTGAAATGACTTAGATGGCTTTAAAGCACCTGGTCCATTTCCTTGTTATTCTTTGAGGTGAATAATCATCTTTTATTTTGATTTGGTTTGTTTCTTTTTCTCTTAGGTGAAACATCTGTCTCCTCAAATAGAATTTTATAATCACAGTACTTCCTCCATCAGGAGGGATTTTATTGAAGTGTACTGTGTTTGATAATTGCATTTTTATGATTTTTTACTTCTCACAGATATTGTCATTTTGAATGTAAATCTCTTTAGAGATAACTCTTCTGTATTCCTTCATTTTTTTGTGTTTTCTTTACAAGCATTAGTACTTCATAAAGCAGTTTACTCAAGAAGCAGAGGAGTGAATAGATGCAGAGTTAAATCATAACCATGTCAAGCTTTGTCACATCTATTGATCCTTTGGCCAAATTAAAACTTAGCTTTCTTAATATGCTTCCTGAAGTTTAAATTTGGATAATGGGTTTTTCATTTTCTGCAATAGTTACAGTTGTGGAGAAAAGCGATTTGCACATACAATTATAGATATAACTTATATTTTGGTATAACTGTTAAGTTTGTAAAGTACTTTGAAGATTACTTGGATTAAAAATAGAGTTAAAGGAAATCATGCTACCATTAACAAAAGATCTTTATTTTATGAAGAGATGTTAAAAATATCAAATGTGCACATGAGTTGAATATTGTTGGTATTTTTTAGTTCACATCACACTTTCATCACATTTTTATCCAGGTACTTTATGAACATAAACTGAGCAGTCTATACCATCTCTGTGAGGTGACTGAGGTAGTCAGAGAAAATTGCTTGATCATTCTAATTAAAACCACCATTTATTATAGTTATTGATCTTAGTTGAGCCAATATGTTATTAGTTATTACTATTCTTTTTGCTTGAGTGTATTTTGTTTTACTCAGCACACATTTCAAATTTTGTGGGGCAAGAGGTGTAACTCAGTTGTAGAATGCATACTTAGCATGTCTAAGTCCCTGGGTTCAGTCTTCTACACCCATTTTGCTGTTCTTGAGCTCTTTCCCAAATTTACTGCCCTCCTTGTGATATCAGCTTGTCTTAACCTCCTATTTTTTACCTCTAAAATTAGCAATATTGGAGCACCAGTGGCACAATCAGGTAATGCACAGGACTTATGTAAAATTAGCAATATTTATATTTCAGCTTTTGAAAGACTTAATAGGTATATCTGGGAGTGGTAGTGCATTCCTGTAACCTCAGCTGCTCAGGAGACTAAGGCAGGAGTATTGCAAGATCAAGACTACCTGGGTAATTTAGCAAGACCATGTTTCAAGATTAAAAATAAATAAAAGGGGTTGGGGTTATAGCTCACTGTGGTATAGTGTCCCTGGGTTCAGTTCCCAGTACCACACACACACACACACACACACACACACACACACAAAGACAGTGAGTAGGGGGTTATTCTTTCTGTTAAAGTTTAATTCTTTGGACTCATCTCCAGCCACAAGTTCCACTGTAGATTATAATCCAGTCATACTGAGCCATTTCTCCTACCTCAAAAATACCATGTTGTTTTATGCTTTTATTTTATTGCCTGGAACACTCATCTTTTCTTTATAACATTATTTATAATCTTCGGACATATTTATTTGATAAGGTATTTGCTAATTTCCCCAATAAACTAACCATTGCAGAATAAATTACTTAATTCCCTTAATTACTTTGGTGTTATATGCCTTTTTCCTTTATTCATTCATTGCTATGCTATATAGCAATTATTGGTTTACTTGCTGGTTTTCCCTATAAAGCTATGTGTTCCTGAAAATCAGAGACCATGTTTCATATATCTTTGCTTGCCTAGTTCTGTGCTCAATAATTATTTATTGAATTAAATGTTGAATATTTTGTTTTTATTTTTCTTTAGAAAATAAAACCAAAGCTTGGAAGTATGTGTATTTTTTCCAAATTTTGGCGGGTGAATTAGTGACAATTCATAGTTAATAATAGTCATATTTTTATTATGTCTATGTTTTCTATTGTCCTTTTTAAATACTGAGATTCAGAGCAACTCAGTATTCTGAGTGTTTTTTCATTTATTTATTCCACATTTATTCCATTCACTCATACTACATTTATTCCATGGGGCACTGGTCTCAGTTCTTGTATTTGAACATGAATATAATCTGTTACCAAGTTTCTTTTTATATGAGCATTGATTAATCTTAGAGGAGGTGGAAAAATCCAAAAATTAATTAGGAAGAATCTAATCAATGAAAATAATTATGAAAACTATGTTGGCCCTTCCTTCCTTCCTTCCTTCCTTCCTTCCTTCCTTCCTTCCTTCCTTCCTTCCTT